CCTTTGTCTGCTTTCATGATAATTCTTGTCGTGTCCTGTTTCAAATCTTTCAGCGCTTTTCTTTCGTTGATGTTTATGTTTTTGTGCGGAGGGATGCGTGCTCGGTCTAAGACGGAAGCTGTATTTGTCCGTATAATGTCTTTAGTTTCGTCTGGTAGATCTTTGATCGCTGTTTCAACTTCCGCAATGATGTTTTTGTGTGGAATCTTTGCAGGTGTGATGGCGAACTTCGGTCCTTTTTCAAGAAGGGAGTGTTCTGCGTCGGTGAGAGGTTTCTTTGATAGGTTTATCACGGAAGTATTCATTGTGGCATTCGTTTCTTTGTTATATTCATTGTTCAAATTAGAATGTTTCTTTGCATGTCTTGTGTTGATGGTGTCGCGGACAGACTGTGCACGCTGTTTCAAGAATTCATTCAAGTTCTTGAATGTATCTACGGGTAGGATAGACATAAGTTCTATTCTGGTATGATGCATTCGTTTCTTGATTGAGTTCATTTGACTATGACAAATAGAGATTCTTGCTTTCATGCAATGTTTGCTTGCTCTCTCCATTATCTGCTTGAATATAACATTATTACCAGGAGGATTAAAACGTAACTAGACTTCGGGAACCAACCATTTTCAAGAGCATAATGAGTGAATTTTAGGTGACGGTGGTGTGCTTCGAGTTTATAAGTATCCTTCTCTAGAACTCGTGCTAATTTGAGACCTTCGCGGCCAGCCGTTCGGCGAATAATTGAAAAAATAGAAGATGCGTAGCCAGGTTGAAACATTATTTATAGAGCGTTCTCTGACTTAATATTTATTTCTACGAGCTTTCGGCTATCAGTCTATAGCCTTCGACGGGTGTATACAAATGATTCTATAAAGGACGCTAAAATTAAGTAGGTGGTATGAAATCTGAGACTATCTATGCTATGTTACAAATGGGTAATATGAATATTTAACTAATTAATGTTTCTTGAGTTCCTTTCTTAAAAGTATTATATGAATATGATATTTGTGATGTTACTCTGAGTGTGTATCCGCACCGGGCGAGCTTGAAAAATATGCCCGGCCACGGTGCGATTCGAACCTACGACCTTTGGAATACTAGCCCAATGCTCTTCCAACTGAGCTACGCGGTCAGGACGGTTCGAGTAAGTGATATTTCGGAACAGAATCTAGTTCCTTCGATACCAGTGTAATCTAGTAATATGATTTTTTTCTGTGTTGGTGTTGTGTACTCAGGTGAATATGATGTTTGTGATGTTACTCTGAGTGTATATCCACACCGGACGAGCTTGAAAAATATGCCCGGCCACGGTGGGAATCGAACCTACGACCTTTGGAATACTAGCCCAATGCTCTGCCAACTGAGCTACGCGGTCAGGACGGTTCGAGTAAGTGATATTTCGGAACAGAATCTAGTTCCTTCGATACCAATGTAATCTAGCAATATGATTTTTCTGTGT